CCTAATGTTAACATGGCAAGATTCATAACACTTTCAGGAATGCATAACAGGCACGTTCAGAGCTTTTTGTCCACATTAAATGCAAGATATTTGACTCAGGATTGGTATCGTGGATGAAACTGTCATCTGCAATGCCAACGTCCTGTTTGGGTTCAAGTACCAGCTTTTCCACTTCAGATACAGTTCCCTTCAAGTGACCTGAGAGAGCAGCAGAAGATGTTCAGGCAACAGTGTTCAGGCAACAGAACCCATGTAGGAGACCAGGAGGAAGATCCTAGGCTCCTGACATTGGCCTGGTTCAGCCATGGCCACTGCAGCCATCTAGGAAGTGACCTAGCAGATTGATGATCACTCTTTCAAATAAGTAAATAACTAAATCTTTAAAACACACACACACACACACACACACACACACACACACACACACACACACACACACACACACCTTCCCTTGGCATGACAGTCTAGTGGCTAAAGTCCTCGCCTTTCAAGTGCCAGGATCCCATATGGTGCCAGTTTATATCCCAGCTACCTCCATTTCCCATGCAGCCATCTGCCTGTGGCGTGGGAAACCAACTAAGGACAGCCCAAAAGCTTGGGATCCTGCACTGGAAGAAGTTCCTGGCTTTGGATTGGCTCAGCTCCAGCCATTGTAGCCACCTGGGGAGTGAGCCAGTGGACAGATATTTCTCTCTGTATCACCTTCTCTCTATTTATCTGCCTTTCAAATGGAAGGAAGGAAGGAAGGAGAGAGAGAAAGAAAGAGAAAGAGAAAGAGAAAGAGAAAGAAAGAAAGAAAGAAAGAAAGAAAGAAAGAAAGAAAGAAAGAAAGAAAGAAAGAAAGAAAAGAGAAAGACAGCTGACTCTTCCCTTTAATTTTTTTATTTCTTCCAGCAAATTAGGATCTCCAACAAATAGAAATGCAACAGAATCTGTTCACAGTTTGAGAAAGTTTTTCAGCTTTATAAAGACACATACTTGTCATTTTAAGAACGATTTTTCTGTTGGACACAGGAAAAGGGATATTTCTTCTCCAGAAGATGAGCAATTAAATAATTGTTTGCAGAAAAGAAAGTGAAAAAGTAGACATATTTTTTAATCATCAAGAAGATTTTGAATTGGCTAATAAAAAATATGTTGGCAGAGCCAAGCCAGAGAAAGCTTTCAGCAATGTGGTATCTGTTCAGTAGTGAACAGTCCAATACATAATGAGTTTAAACATTGGTAGGCATGCAGGATGAATCCAGGGGCCAAATGCATCTACATTTTGTATTTGAAAAGAAAAGATGGGTTTTAGATTTGCAGCTATGATCGAGGAAAATGTTCTGAACTTTTGTCTAAACTCAGGATCAGCCATAGAATGTTCTCTCAGGTTGTTTGTCCAGTGTCCTGTTAGGATTTGAGTAAAAGACAATCAAGGTTCCAAACATTAAAAATAAATCTCAGAAATGACCTAGGGCCCCTCATCATTTGTTAGAGAAAAGCAGCTGAGCCTACACTTGTAGCAGTAAGCTATGCCCAAGTTCGCTCACAGAAAATGGGTAAAAACCAAGGTCTGCATAATGCTGAGCCATCAACAAAAAATTAACAGAGGCCAATCTTACACATGTGGCAAGCACAGCTCTTGCGTTCTGCAGACATTATTTAATTTTCTCATAAAAAAAATCCTTTGATGCAGGTTTGATTATCCCCATTTTACAAATTTTCCCCTTCACTCTCCAAAAAAACTGAGGCTTAGAAAGATAAAAGTCACTTGAGCAGAGAGGCTTGACTTCTCAGTGGAACTGTCAGAACTAAACTTAGAACTCTTAGATAAAAATTTTTCTTATCTGATATTTTAACAGGCTGTATAAGGAATAAAAGCCCTGATCTGTGCAATAAGCCAATTACAGGGGTGTCAGGAGTCCCTCCGTAGCTAATTACTGAATGCAGAGCTGGCAGATGCACACACTCAGCCTTCATGAGCCAAAGAGAGGCGGCTCCTGTAGCCCGCTGGACACACCATGCAGTTCTAAAATCCATACCTCAAAGCTGAAGAGCCAAATTGTTTCCAGCAGATGGGCAGAACTGGACTCAGTGAGGATACACAGAAGAAGCAGACACTACCCAGCGCCTTATGGGAATTACTGGAGAAATGATGTAACCTTCTAGACTTTTCATCAGGATAAGTCAGGGCGTTTCCCAGGAGCCACCAGCAAAAGGCAGTCCCAGTTGTCCATATCAGTGATCTCCTCAAGAAGGTGCTCCTTCCGGGCTTGCCTCCCTTCCCACTCCTCTTTTCCCCTTCCTCTGGGAATTTCCTGGGATCATCTCCCAGGTAAACTATGTCAACTCCTAGTCACATCTCAGAGTCTTGAGAAATCCAAAGTAACGGATGATTTTTTCATGAATCAAGCAATAAAACATAAGGCTCCTCTTTGTGTATTTCACAATCTATCAATAAGGGGCAGGTGTTCAGCCTGGTTGTTAAGACTCCCACCTCCTGGTCATGTGTTTGGAAAAGTGGTTAAGCTGCCACTTGGGATATGTACAACCCACATCAGAGTTACTATGTTTGAATTCTAACTCCACCTTGAACTCCTTCTTGCTGTAAAATGTACACCCTGGGAGGCAGCAGGACATGTCTCAAGTATTGAGTGCTTGCCACTCAAATGGGAAATCTGGATTAACTTCCTGTGTCCTAGATTCAACCTGACCCAGTCTGGCTATTGAAGGCATTTGGGGAATGAATCAGCAAGTGTATGCTCAATTACTCATATTCATTCTCTCTCTCTCAATTCAGTAAAATAACATCTCATAGAAGAGTTCTTTTATTCAATCCCAGAATAGATTCCTGACTCCACACACATACCTGCAAAGCAACAGGGATACCTGAAATAACTGGGTTTCTGCCACCCACTTGGGAGACTTGGATTTAATTCCTGGGTCTGTGGTTCAGGTCCAGGCCAGCTCAGCTCAGTTCAGCTCCACCTCTCAAACAAATGATTCAGCAATCAGTCCACCAATAGAAGAGCTTGCTGGACTAGCACAGGCAGAGGCAAGTAGTGGGGCACTGCCCTGGATGACTTTCTGGCTTTCCTGGCAGCAGCTCTTTCTCTCTGAACACAGGGACATCCCCCAGGACACTCACTCATTGGCTCTCATAATATGGAGTGTGATTCTTCCCACAGGATGTTGCAATTGCAGAAGGAAATATTGGAAACATAAACATTTACTCATAAGGTTGGGGCTGGACCCAGAGATCCACAGATAGGAAGACTTGAAAAGGGATAGGGAAAATATCCTTTGACCCAGCTTCAATAGACAACATTTTAAGACTGAATTTTAAAATTGCTGTTGACAGTCCCTCAAGTGTAGCGTAAATGAAGCCCAGCTCCTTATCACCACAAATGTAGTAGTGATAAGTTTAGGCTCCGCACTCAGGCTTACCCAACTCAATTCTAATCTAGTACAGGTCCTCTAGCATCCCTGTGCCTCAGTTTTCCCATACACAAAATAGCAGAAATATAATCTAACTCAGAAAGCATCCATTTTAATTACAAGAGAACAATAATAAGTTAAAAATGACTGCTGGGTATGCGTCAGACACTTTCTATGCACTTTCCACTCACAGTCATACACATGAAGGTACATTCATAATTCCCATTTTATGATTATAAAAAAATTTCCCCCAGGTACCAAGCTAATAAGAAGCAGGCCCCAGGTTTGAAAACTGGGATAAATCTGAATCTATTCTTTTATGCAAAGCATATGGAAAATATGGAAAATTCTCCTTACTTCATCATAATCTCTTAAGCAGTCTCATTGGGAAAGGACTGCAATGGGAAACAGACAAGGACAGGTGCCTGGCAAACCAACCTCTCATGGAGCCTCAAAAAGAAAAGGCTCATTGCCAAGATCTTAATAAAAAGTCTTTGGAGCCAACAGACTTTGGCTTCTCCTTCTATTAATATCTAACCTCTTAAAGTTCCTCCAACTCCATAATCTCCTTCTCTGAAGGTATACAAAATCTTCAAATGACTTTCAAAAAGCTAGAAAGTCAGGAGTAATATTCATCTTAAAGTCTCAGGCAAATTTAAGTCACTCACTGAAACATGGTCACTCGATGTCACAGAATAAAGGCATTGGATTAGTCATCTGACTTCAGCCTGGGTCTGGCATTCACTAAGTTAGGTGATTGAACAAAATCACCTGCTTAATCTTTGCATTAGTTTTTTAATTTGTTAATACAGTGATAATACCCCTCATCATGACTTTTTAAAAAAAGATTTATTTATAATTTTTTTTTATCTGAAAGACAGATTTGTTTTGTAAGAGAGAAAGAGAGACAGGAAGAAAGGTCTTCCATCTGCCGGTTTACCCCTGAAATGGCTGCAAAGGTCAGAGTTGAGCTCATCCAAAGCGAGGAAACAGGAGTATCTTCCCGGCCTCTCACATGGGTGCAGGGGCCCAAGGACTTGAGCCATCTTACACTGCTTTCCAAGGCCATAGCAGAGAGCTGGATTGGAAGTGGAGCATCCAGGACATGGATGGGCACCCATACAGGATGCCAGTACTTGCAGATAGTGGATTGGCTTGATACACCTCCATGAAGCCCCCATCCACCCCGTCTTGCCTCTCTTAATGTGAGTTGAGAGAATCAGGTGAGGGATGTATGTAAAAATACTTCACAAATTTTAAAGCATTACACTAATGTGGGAAATTCTCAGTATTAATCAGTAGCTTATCAGTCCTGTGAAGCAAATTCTTGAACAAAAACAAAACAAATGAAAGAAAACTGGAGCTCAAATGCAGAGATGAGTAGCAAATGGGAGTGAAGAGAGTCAGATGGGAGAGAAAATGTAGCTGTCAGAATCTCACTTTCAGTGCTGGCAGTTAACCTCTAAGCAATGTTATGAGGCCAGGAAGTAACCATATTTTTAATTAAGTGCCAGTGGTTGGCTCAGCAACATAAAATTTAATGGTAGGGAAGACAGCAACTTAAAGAAACGATTTCTTACCTCTCCTTCCAAGAAAGAGATCTTCTCTAAAAGCTGCAATATTAAGAGCTGTTTCTGTTGCAATTTTTTCTTTAATGACTCAATCTAGGAAGAAACACATCAAGAACTGTTTTTAAAACAATGTAGAACTGCATGAGTACAAGTTACTTAATGGAGAGAGACAGGGTGCTGGCTTTCATTTAAACAGAAGCTGTGTACCATGCAATGGGATTAACATGAAATGCCCAGGAAAGCCAGATGCTGCTCCAGGTGAGCTGGGGGATATGAAAGATGAGTTGTAAGTTACATCTCATTAGGCTTGTTTAACCCAGCATTTCCATACAGATGCTGCTTTGCAACCCTTGGTAGCATTCCATAGACAAACCACATAACATCTTTGGGAAACACTGAAATAAGTCTACAAACAGTGATTATTCAGTTTGAACCAATGAGGCAGCCTGATTTCAAACTCTCAGCTTTGTCGAATCTATTAATAATTTGTTCCTGTTTTGTGTGCCAAGTGTCAGAAGTGTTGATTTGGGGAAAGGATCACAAAAGCTGTTGAGGACATTCAGAGGAGTGAGAATTCATGTGGCCCAAAGTCATTAGGAAAATCTCCAAAGTGGACGTGAGCTGGGCTTTCACCCTTGTTTTTATAATATACTCCATCCTGAACTGCTTTTGTTTTTCATGCATACATCATGTCTCCTTAGAAATGATCCCTCCCCTAAAAGAAGAAATCAGGCTACTGTGTACCAAACCATGTCTTGGACAATCGTGGGCACACTTACATGGTCTTGGTGAGTAACACACCAATTTTCCAAAGTCTTACATCTTAAATTTGAACATGATCTATCATGTGGTATAATCATGTTTGCAACCAAGATGTTTACCATCAGAGAAAGAAAAACAAGTCTGACATGCAATAAATATAAAACAAGCTTTTGTCAGATTTAAAGTGACAATATCAGTACAGACTCGTAACCTTTTATTTGCTTTTGTAAAAACAAGCATTCTTAATCCGTCCACTGAGAAAATATAAAAACAATAAAAGCATAATATGATCCAGATACTATTCACCACTTAAAAGATATAAAAGCACATCTTACAGGAATAGCCCTTTCCAGGAAGGTGGGGGACAAAAATAAACTAGATGAATCTAAGATACCTTGTCTTTCCTGAAAGCAAGGACATGAAAGGTTTGCCTTGGACCAAGGATGGGGCAATTAAAAAACAAATGATGTCACTGTGTAAAATACATGCTAATATGTAACTACTACAGAACACGAATATTTTAAAATCCTTAACAAAGAAATCAGCAACAAGTAATTGGATGCCTGGCATTTTAGAGAGAAAACGAAAGCACTTATTTTGCCTTGCTTGTACAAACTGAGTTTGGAGATTCTAAAAAAAGCCTTAGTTATAAAGAAAGGTTTTCCTTTACCAAATACTTTCAGCCATTCAATGGGGTAGGCATGAAAGAATTAGAAGATCATCACAATTTTGCCATGTCTAGGAAGTAACTGATTGGAGCCACCATCATCCACAGACAACACAGTGAGGCTGCAGGCTGATGGAGGAACTTTATATCTGTGATTTGGGGCTATCATGACCTGAATGAATGATCAACTTCAACCTTCCCAGACATTTTATATCCCAGATGTCACAGAAAACTAGGCACCATCCCCACCCCCGAAACTCAAAATGCAATCTAATCAGGCTTCTGGAGGCAATAAGGAAACAAAGAGCCAAAGCCGGAATGTTAGTGTTTTATAGCATAACTGACTCAGTTCCTACAGTAAGTCACTGGGTAGGGATGAGGGGCGTGGCCAAGCTGGGAGAGGCATGCTTTAGATGAAGAGACTCTGAGATGCAGGAAACAAATGTGACGGAAGATCTTCCTCTCTGTCTCTCCTCCTCTCTGTATATCTGACTTTCCAATAAATAAATAAATCTTAAAAAAAAAAAAAAAGAAACAAATGTGACCATACTGGATCCTGAATGCAGCAAAGCATTAGTAAAAAGACACGTCAGGAACTCTTTATAGACAAGGGTTACAAGATATTAAGGAATTATCATTTTTGTTAAGTGTGATGTGGGTATTCCAACCCCAAAAATTACCCACTTGGAGATGCATAGTAAAGTATAGCAGAAACATATACAGAATATCTGGGATTTTCTTTAAAATACTGCACAAAGGAAAAGAAAAGAGGAAACGAAGGGCTACTTAAAGCAAACATGGCAATTCTGGCTCTTTGTTTAACCTGGATAATGAGTTGAGATGGCCTCACTGAGTATTCTCTCTGTTCTGGGTACATTGGGAAACTTCATTATAATATATGTTCAATGCCATGTGGTATAAAAAAATTCATCCTCTAACAAGGAAAGCAAACCATACAAAACATAATAGGAAATATGCTCAAGGAAAAATGCATAATGTTGATGTTAATTCAAGAAATTACCAATTAAAAAGAGAAATGAACTGTCACTTAACACTTAAGAAATTTGTAACCCCAAATACTGACTAAAGAAACCAGTGCTGGCAGGGTTGGGGAGGCAGCCACTCTTGTGTGTTGCAGGTGGCATTGTAAATTAGAATGACCCTTTAGGCAATTTAGCAATAAATATTCAGAGCCATAAAGCTGTTCATACCCTTTGACCCACTAATCCCACTCCTGGGAATTTATCCTAAGGATATAATTCAAACATAGGAAAAAAGCTATATATATAAAGATGGTTCTTGCTCCCATTATTTATAATAGGGAGAAAATGGAAATAACCTTAATGTCTAGCACTAAAGGAACAGGTAATAAATTACAGAATATCAATTTGATGGAGTATATTACCTAAACACTAAAAACAAACACACTGCAAAATGGCAAAGTGTTTACAAAAAGCCTCAAGGGATTAAAAAAAAGTTTACAACGATGAAAGTAAAACCTAGAAGAGAAGTTAAACAAATGGCCAAGTTCTGGGGTTGTGGTAGGATTATGGAGAGGGATTAAAAAAAGAGTTGTGTGTGTAAATTTCCTTCAATTTGGTAAGAATAATTTGCAAAATGCATCCTTGTGTTCCTTTTCAATCCTTCCCCATAGAATTAATGCTTTAAAACCTTTAAAGGATATGTAAAATGGGTATTGAACATAACCAAAGGTTTTTGAGGAGGTCAGGGGTAGTATTTAATCACATAACAAAAGATGACTTCAAACAGCTAGTGTCACTATCTCCAAAGGACTCAGTGGTTTCTGAGTCAACGAAGTGACAAATATGTTTTAGGAACCGTCCCTCCCTCCAGAGAACACCTCATAGTAAAATGCTGAGATGATCCTACTGTTCATTATCCCCTAGACTCTAGTCTTAAAAACTACAGCCAGCCTCCTCATCCATGGGTTCTGCATGAAAGGACTCAACCCGCTTTGGATTGAAAATATTAGAGAAGAAACATACTGGTTATGTACAGACATTTCTTGTCTTTTTCCCCTAACAATACTGTGCAACAGTTGCTTCCACAGCATTTAGTTTGCATTAGGTGTTGTGACACAGAGATACTTGCAAGTGTACAGGATGAGGTGTGCTGCTTATGCGCAGACACATCATTTTATATGAGGATTTGAGTGTCATCAAATTTGAGATCCACAAAGGTCCTGAACTGAACTAATCCCTCATGGACAGGATGGACGACTATAACTCAGTAAAAGGCAAAGTTGTCATCTGGAGACAGTGCAGTATGGACAAAGTCTCTGAGTTCTTGTGAGAGAATAGAGGGGCTGAGGCTATACTGAAAAGTTACCTAGTCCTGGGGAGACAAAACAAGCTATGAGAGGGACTGCGGGTGCTGACAGTGGCAAGAAGTGATGGTGCTACTCTGTGAAATGAATGCACTCATGCACCTTTGCTTAAGTCCTTATGCATTTTTTTAATTTAAAGATTTTTTTTGTTCTTACTATTGGAAAGTCAGATTTATAGAGATAAGGAGAGACAAAGATTTTCTGTCCATCGGCCCACTCGTCTAGTGACTGCAACAGTCAGAGCTGAGCTGATCTGAAGCCAGGAGCCAGGAGCTTTTTTTGGATCTCCCACATGGATGCAGGGTCTCTAGGCTTTGGGTTATCCACTTCTGCTTTCCCAGGCCACAAGCAGGAAACTGGATGGAAGTGGGGCAGCTGGGACATGAATTGGCACCAACATGGGATCCCGAAGGCATACAAGGTATTTACCCACTAGGTTATGATACCAGGCCCAGCCCTTATACATTTTTAGAAAAGCCTATTGTTCATATTTTATGACCAATGTTGACTTATTCCAATTTAAGGGGAAAAAAAATCCCTCAAAGCAAAGGCTGGCCAAACTCTGCAAGCCCTACAAGGGATGCTGACTTGGAATTCCAGCGTTGTAACCCTGCAGCCTACCCTGTAGTATGTCCCCTGTGTTTCCCCAGTGAGGCCCTCAGATACTAAAACAGGCAAACTCGTGCTTCTGGGTTTGGTAGCATTCCAGTAGTATCAGATCCCCAAGTCTCTGCTTGTGGATGATCCTGTAATTGCCAACTCCCAATCCCAAAGAGCCCAGAAACATTGTCTCCTGTAACACTTAGTGCTTGAGAACTACTCAAATGTTAGCTGTGATTATGATTCTAGGTATTTCTCCCTCCCTAGACTGTGAGTTACTGTAAAGTCCTTGCTCATTCTATAATCTCAGACTGTCAAAAAACAAATCAACAAATCCAGCCCTAAACAATTGATTAGGAGCAAAACTGTAGAACAAGCTCTTAAAACCCAATTGAACTGTAATGGCCTTGTTTAGAACATACACCCCAAATACCTCCAAGAGTGAGGCCCACTCCAAAACCCAGGGTGCCACGCAAGTAAATGTATGAAGTACCTTTGCTCTTTCTATCTGCACTGAAGTTTGCAAAGTTGGCCTTCAAGAAATTTATTTACCTACCACAAAGCTGCATTTAGGTTTCACTGTCACCAGGTGGTGGTAAATGACCCAAGTTAGAAGGCTCAAGTCAGGGCATTAAAAACTGAGCAGAGCCCAGCACGGTGGCGCAGTGGTTAAGGTCCTCGCCTTGCATGCCCGGGATCCCATATGGGCGCCGGTTC